GCCTGCAAAAAAAAAAAAAAAAGTATTCGGAGCGATTAGAATCGACGATCGAAAGAGATATAGACGACAAAAGAGAAAAAGTCATTCCAAAAGTTCGTGATAAACAATATTCTTTGTGATGAAATTATTGTCAGGCAACACAATACTAATGTTGTTGGGATGACCAACGCGCGACAAAGCAACATACAATTGGCCATGCGCAAAAACAGGTTTGCGCAACCAAACCCCGACACGAGAGACAATTTGTCCTTGCGACTTGTTTATGGTCGCAGTGAACGCAAGACGGATGGGGAACTGTCTCCTATTCCATTTAAACCCCGTGGTTTCACCATCACTTGTCAAATCGATTTAGGGGATCAATGTCGTTTTACCGGTGCGCATTATGGTCACTTCCAACAAATCATTATCAACAATCTTTTTAAGAATCAACCTTGTGTCATTACAAAGTCCTTGTTTGGGCGACAAATTGCGCAACAACATCACAGGCGCACCAATTTTCAAGCGCAGTTTGTGAGGCGGAAGACCAGACTCATCGAGAGAATTCAAGAACTCGTGCTCGATGCCAAGTTCGTGATCATCAGAACTAGGGTAATCAACACTATAACTTTCACGCACCTCGCCAGGGAAATCGTTGAGAACCATGTCGTTAACACACCCCGCATCGTCATTAGTAGCGCAGAGAATCAATCGAGCGTAAAAATAGTCAACATTGTTAACGTGTTCACAGACATCCTCAAACGTCCAGGAAATCAAATCACGAATAGGTTTATCAGTGCAAATCTCATGCGGCAGTTTGACCGTGGCATGTTCGTTAGGAACAAAACGAATATGATCACCATTCCCAATACGCATAAAAAACATGCCATACATTCCCGTCATTGCATCATCCCCTAAGCTTAAGATCCGCATATTCTCAGTTAGGCAATGGACCTCAAAAAGTTTCCACAAAGGAGACATTTTGATAGAGGCATCAATTTGCTGTGCTCGAGACCAATGTTTCATAACCGGCAAAACCTGTCGAAAGTCCCCAGAAAAAAGCAAAACCTTTCCTCCAAACGGGAGGTTACTGTTACAGACATCTTGAAGCGTAATGTCAAGAGCTTCCAAGTGGAACTTGTTGCTCATTAGAGCTTCATCCCAAACGATCAAGTCGGCACGGCGGATAAGTTCGGCAAGATCACTCTGTTTTGGAATATTGAAGGGACGCGTGTTATCAAGTTTCAAAGGTGCTCGAAATCGCGAGTGAAATGTTCGACCATTGGTAAAAAGAGTCGCCGCTATCCCACTGGACGCCACAGCGAGTCCAATACCATTACGCGACCTGATCCCCGCCAAAATTGTTTTTATGCAAAAAGTTTTTCCTGTTCCCGCCGGCGCATCTACAAAAGCATAAAGCGGTTGTTTCTCTTCCACGGCCCGAATAACTCTTTGCACCAGCGCTCGTTGGCGCGACCAAAGACGTCGAAAATTAGACTTAAATTTAGTTTGCATTTCAATCGGATCATACGACAATTCGTCATTTATAATCGAGGACATAGTCCTGTTCTCGTAATGCCTGTTCATGTTGTCGACAATCGTTTTTCCATCAGGGGTCAGATAATAAAGACCGAACAAGCGGATGTTTTTGCCATACTCATGCAAGATACGGTCAAGATCAAATAGCACTAAACACTGCAAAACGATCGGAGGCAGAATCTGAGAGCCCACACGATACTGAAAATCATCACACATTTTTCCCCAATATCGTTGAAAGAATTGAAAAGGATCGTTGACCGGCCCAAATAACAGAAGCATAGCGAATACTTTACGAACCTCTGCAGACATATAATGAAGTGCGGCCGTATCTATACATTGATTATATGCATCATCGGTTTGCAAAAGTCCTAATCGAAGACACACTGATCGGAACGAATCGTATTCGACTTCATCGACGGTATGAATTTCCGCAAAAGAGCGTGCTCCACGAGAGTGTTTATGGTTTAGCAACACACGGAGATAGAAGCGTTCGCCTTTCGTGACCCTGACATGATGCAATCGATATATCTTTTCGAAAGGAGCACCATGAAGAGTACGTTTTTTTCTGTTTCACACCTTATGTTGATTATCCCACACATGAGTTTTAATAATTTCAGGATACAAAGGAAGCTCGTGTTTAGGAACACGTTCGTTCAAAGAGTTGTGATTCATCCATGCCGTCAATTTTGTGCTCGGCGGTCCGCGGGAAACAACATGATCTTCCGTGCCTGGTTCGAAGACCACTTTTTGCATGTTTTCGATATGCACAGACAATCTTTCGACTACGGGTCACTGTTCCGCAAAGTCGAACTCAAACAGACGCCAACATGCCTCGCATGCACCAACAACACACATATCTTGATAGGATTTGACTTCATCGACAAGTGCATTATTATCTTGTTTGCAAACCATGGCACGATCACCCCCTTTATACACGTACTTATACACATACTTGCATGCCTTGATGTTAGCACAACATTCGACATTGATGTAGCAGTTAAACCTCATCAGCAAGTACGGGTTGTACGGGACCACTCGATGATTATCATAAACAACGCGATTTTGAACGACCGTAAAGCCACCGTCACTTGGTTTTCTTCTCCTATACGAAGGATAAGTTTGTTCATCTTTGAAGGTTGTCGTGAAAATTAATTCTTTCAGAAACCCTTTCGTGCACTTTCCGTTCTCGGTACACGAAGCATCGCTTTTTTTCCTCACCGCAAATGTCGTACAACATGAATTTGACAACCCTTTCTCTCAATCCCCCTTCAGGCGGAATCTCCGCACACACCACGTTGTCAACAGCATCTGCGTCGCGGATTTTATCATCCGGATGCAAGATAATCAATATATGTGCATGCGGCAGACCCCTTTTTTGGAACTCAACTATATACAACATTCCATCGACCCTCCCAAAGATCCGTTTTTTCTTAATCTCGTCAATGAGTTGGGTGAGATAACCTTTGAACACTCGGGCAAGAAGATCCGGCCTGTCGGTTGCGCATTGATCCGACAACAGCGCTTGTTGGATCTCTGGCCAGTTTGTGTTACACGTCATAGTGATAAAAAGATCGGGTTTCCAAACCGCCTCACGATTGTCATGCTGTCATGATACCTTTCGGTCATATACCGCGGTCCCCCAGTGAAGGTGGAGGGCAGAAGTATTTTTGTCCCAACACCATCACTGTGCTGATTTTGTTCCACAGCGTATCGCAGGTCCTGATAATATTCCGACCGCAAGTCTTTCTGATGGAATCTCACCCATTTTAAGCGAAGGGATTCAACCTTAGCGTAAGCCATGCAACAAAACTCGTGGAAAAGACGCGCCGCATAAAGGAGGCAAGGTCTTTCACCATCGCGTTCGTGTAGGTGAAACACATAGTACTCCTTCGCACTGAGTCCCGGCGGCCATCCAGCTTCCAAGGCACGTTGGACAGACCAACTATCAATTCCTTCCGGGAAGAGTAAAACAAACCTCAAACAGTCGTGCGCTCGGGAACATTCCGGAACGACAACTGTTGGCCGCTCACCCGGAAGAGGGGCACGTAAACGAATCTCGAGCTCACGAGGAAGAAGGTTATCCGCCATGAGAATGCAGACCTCATGTAGCCCCGACGGACGGTTATAACGCCTTGCATGTTCCTCCGCGGGCATGGCATCTGGATTTATGACAAACTTCCTTTCATTCAACGCTGCCAGCGGAAGGTCGGCAATGGTCATGAAGTCCCTCACGTAGTTGTTACACTGTCGTAGCAACTCGTGGAACCTTCTTAATAGTCGTCTCATTTGCCGAAGTTCGGCATCAGACGTGTGTGCAAGTAAATTAAGGAAATTCACTCTTTGATCAATCGCATCATCCAAATGTTGAGGATCGTGCAAGTAAAGTTGTGCAAACTGAGGACGCCCCCCTTCCCCCACAGCCAATGCATCGACACAATGATAGATCGGACCCTGAGCCCGAAGTTGGCCCTGGAATCCTTGAACGCCATCGCTCGGTTGTTTTAACCGCGAGGATGTGAGAGATAAATTATTATTAATTATCCTCGCATTCTTTCGAATGAATCGCCCGTCGGGAGTCTGAGACGTCCAAATAGAAAGAATTTCATACTCCGGCGACCCTTCTCGAGGCCATTCCCACAGAGGACAACGTCTCGTACCTTTTCTGCAACATATTTTTGTCAATTTTTTTTCATGATTCCACAACTTAGCACCACAATACTTGCACCGTTCTCGACCACCAATGTCGAATGCCTCAACCGTGCTAGCACCCGCGACAATAGCCACGGTGTTCTCAACCGCTGCATACGGTGTTGCCACGGGTACAGACGGGAGTGCATTCATATCATCAGGTGGATCATCATCAAAATCATTCATTTGCTCATCCTGATTTATCCAACTCACTATGTTCCCGATTGTTCATTAAATTTGAACTATAACGGACGGATTGTGCGACTGCTCTGCTCTCCCCGACATACTTTGGGATTACCTCGGTCGAGAACAATGACGACGCGTTTCCTTCGAAGAAAAAGATGCATCCCTCGACTGCCCAGAGGTGGTTGCTCGAATCTCTCGAAGGATATTTACAGGAACCAAACTTCGCCTTACACCCCGCAAAAAACATTTGTGAGCATCTATATCTTCTTTGCTCTTAGGATTCTTAAACGCAACTCTCAATGCACGCATACGTTTAACATGACAATTTGCCTGTCTTTCCACCCTCTTTTTTCGAGTGGAAATTTCATACGATGTAGACCTCGATTCATCGCTATTCATCCTATGGACTTGTTCTGTTGCACCGCCGCCGCCCACTGTACTTTCAACAACTACCGCATATGCATCAAAGTCGGGGAACACAGTCTGACGTACGGACAACAACGATCCAAGGTCCAAACGACGCGCGACTTTAGCGGCTCGCAGTGCCTGAAGGCGCAACATACGATATCGTCTATTGCGCCTCGAACGAATCGGTTTCAATATTACCGATCTCCTTCGACGATTATGAAATCCAACAAACTTCCTAATCATTGCGTTCGGGGAATTTGGCAAGGTTCCGAGAGAAGAGCATGCCTGTGCATGAACAGTTGGGATGAAAGCATGAAGGTTAGGCTACACGCATCTTCGTCGCACATCTTCTGTGAATGTGGACGGCGGTCCGTTCTCTACACGTGGCAAATGAAAGGAAGAATCATCAACTGGAAAGGTTGTTTCGATCGTAGGAACAAAATTTGCACAGACTGCATCATGCGTACAATTTT